GCTCTTCCAATTGTCAGGGTGATTTTATTGGGAAAATCATACAGACCTGGCATAAAATAAATCAAGCAGTACAGAACTATAAACAGCAGTAACACAGTGTTTCATGCACTTTTTATTTTGAATTACAATTCTGATACATGAATGTATGTCTGTTGCAAAAATACAAACAGGTCTACTGAGTGAAAGTGAAAGTTGCCTTCCTCTGTCTCTTCCCATCTCACTGTCTTCTCCTAAGGAAACATTGTTAAGCTTTGGTGCCTATCCCTTCATGGATATATATTGTATATAGTTTGGAATATAGTGAGGAATTTTAAAATAATAACTACAGAGACTGCTATTATTATGTGTTAAGAACTCAGTGCCCACTAAAAGCATAAAGGGAGTTACAGGTAGCATCGGTCCTCAGCTTGGATGGAGAGAGCGTTAGGGAAATGTGCATATAAGGGACGCGCATATAAGACTTTAAAAGGGGAAGGGACTTTTACGAAAGGCTCTAGGTCCCAAGTGAAACTTCAAACAGCCAAGAGAGGGCTGTAATCTTGTAGACTAACCCTAGTCCACCTGCTCTGGTACTAGTTGGTACAAGGAAGTGCCTTCAAAATGAAGTTCTGGGGTTTCCCTGGTGGCGCAGTGGTTGAGAGTCTGCCTGCCAATGCAGGGGACACGGGTTCGTGCCCTGGTCCAGGAAGATCCCACATGCTGCGGAGCTGCTGGGCCCGTGAGCCATGGCTGCTGAGCCTGCGCGTCTGGAGCCTGTGCTCCGCAATGGGAGAGGCCACAACAGTGAGAGGCCCGCGTACCTTAAAAAAAGAAAGAAAAAAAAAGTTCTGCATACAGCAACTGAATCTCCCCCAACACCTGGTCTCTATAACAACCTGATAAATCACTTCTGGAACCCTGAAAGTCACCATTTGGCCCTTTAAAAAAAATTAATTTATTAATTTATTTTTATTTTGGGCTGTGTTGGGTCTTCTTTGCTGCGCACAGGATTTCTCTAGTTGCGGTGAGCGGGGGCTACTCTTCGTTGCGGTGCTGCAGGCTTCTCACTGCAGTGGCTTCTCTTGTTGCAGAGTACAGGCTCTAGGCACGCAGGCTTCAGTAGCTGTAGCACACGGGCACTGTAGTTGTGGCTCACAGGCTCTAAAGCGCAGGCTCAGTAGTTGTGGTGCACAGGCTTAGTTGCTCCGTGGCATGTGGGATCTTCCCAGACCAGGGCTCAAACCCATGTCTCCTGCATTGGCAGACAGATTCTTAACCACTGTGCCACCAGGGAAGCCCACCATTTGGCCATTTTGATAATAATACCAGGGTAAATGATTAGGGAGTTATTGAGAGAAACAGCTGAATAGCATTACCAAAAAGGCCTGAACCCAATTAGATATTTGAAAATGATTTCAATAACTTTCAGGCTATTTAAATTTTTTCCCTCACCCATATGGTTCTACCTACAGCAAAACTTTTAAAAAGAATATTTTTCTTTAGAGGCACCAAGAATCAGGGCCCTAACTTGCATTTTTAATGTAGAGAATTAGCTTCACTTTTAATTTTATTCAGAAGTTCTGTAAAGCCTGTGTGCTTCAGCTGGACACAGGATGTGGGCACAGAACCCAGAATCACTGAGGGGCTAGATGAGGTGCAGATGGGTCTCAGGTTTTGCTACCAGCAGTCCTGAGGTGCTTGTTTTTGTTTCCTTTTCTTTACAGTCCTGAGCTTCTGAACCAGTTTTCCATTTACAGCAAGCGGCCAAGAAGATATGGGATTATCTGTGTAACTCATGCAAAAGTGTTTTTACCTCAAAGATCTGGCTTCTATATTCTCAGGGGTCCCTCCTCAGTAGGAGTGCTTAGTAGACTCAAGCTCAAGTGGACTCAAGGACACGGTGAAGGGCAAGCATCACCAGGTGGACATTAGGGATCCACAAGCACCCTGCCCTGCAGCACTGAGAACTTGGCTGCTCAGTAATTGCCTCAAGATCCACCCAGGGATTTCCTATCCAATTTAATGGAGCAAAGCTTAGGGATTGAAGAGAAAAGAACCTCACAAAATTCCTATTAAGGGTGTAGAAAACAAGGATCCTCTTTTTAAATATCTGCTCCCAAATAGTGATCCCAATAAACTGTACTCACAGCCATGGATGGATAAAAATGCACTTTAATTCTCTTGCCCTTTCAAGGGTTTTCTTTCTCATGAGTTTGTGTGCTGACATTTCTACCAGGATGCAGTGGTTGGGGATGCTGGCCCTTTAACAGGGGAGCAGGGGAGGGGCTTGGAATCTTAAAGCCAGGGGCAGCAAGCCTACCTGGCCCAGGCCGCCATGGCTAAGCTAAGCAGAAAGGACAGCCACAGTCCTGGGGTGGGTGTCGCCACCCAGGCCTCTGTGAGCCCCCTCCCTGTGCACAGACTGAGGCTGGTGGTGACCTCCAGTTCCTAGCCCTGCTCCTCTTCTCTGTCCCTTTGCAGGACAGCTCCCTAGAGCTGGGCTAGTGAGGTCAGAGGGTGGAGGTTTAGGGTAGTCTGAGAGGCCAGGGTCCTGCTCCTTGAGATCTGGGTCAAAACTTTTCTGACAACCTTGCTGGGGGGAGACCTTGGCTGTTTGGGTGCCACGCCATCCTTACCCAGGACAGGGTCTCTGGGTCTCTTCCTTTTCTCAGGTTTACCTTCCAGAGGCTGACAGTGCTCTCTCGCCAGAGGAAACAGCCATGGAGCAAGTCTGCCAGCCCGAAGAGATGAAATGCCTTCAAGGTAGTATCACCAAGTGGTCTGTTGTATCTGATAAAAGGCCCGGGAGTGCGGCAGTTTGATGGTCTGGTTCAGTGGATAGACATGGGTTTGGATGTCCAGAATTGCTGGGAGTGATTCCCAGCGACATCATGATGGTGACAGATAACTTTTATGGGCCCTGTGTTTTCCTCACCTTCAGAGAAAAATGATCAATACCGGCCTTGTATGGTTGTTGTGAGAATTAAATGAACAGATAGATGTAAAAATCCCTGGCCCACTAGGGTTAAATTGTCATGAGTCAGGGCAGCTGGAACTTGGTTAATCAAAGAGGCACAGAAAGGGCTGTCAGAGGAGGCGAGCAGGTGGAGAAACCTGTGGCGGGACTAATGAGGCAATGGAAGAGGGGATGAAGAAAGTGAAAGCGATTGGCACCTGCCAGGTTCTGTTTGCTCTAGTGGGGATGGTTAGACGCGCCCTGGGGTAGTGAGGCTGAGTGGAACTCATAGAACAAGAGAAGATGTTTGAAGATGGTGCTGGAGACATGACTTGTGAACAGAAGTGCTACAGCGAAGCATCCTCTCTAGACCAGACCCTTCCCAGCTGAACCCCTGTCTGTTTCCTCCTCAGGCACCCACTTAAACCAAAGCCCAGGCAAGTCCTGTGACCCCTTGGCTCTTAAGGAAGCTCTGGTGTGTGCCTCCCAGTTGGAGGTAGAGGAACAAAATGAAGAAGAGAGGGAGGAGGAGCTGGAACCAGATTTAGCCCCTGACCTGGAGGAGGAGGAAGAGGAGGAGGAAGAGAATGATCTCGGGGATCCAGCTGTCCTCAGCGCTGTCCGTAACATCCAGGTACCACGGCAGGAAGACGTGGGGGAGGGTTGTCCCGAACTGTCTGCATCTCACAGACTGTTGCTACACATCTCTCTCCTCCTCTTCCCCCCTTTCTAGGTGGGCTAACACTTTCTATTTCAGGCTTGAACCCCAGTAAAGACTCTCTCCTTCCTTCCCTCCTTTCTTCTGTCTCCTACTTAGTTTCTGATGCTGCCCTCACCTGAATCCAGGTCCTAGCAGGGCTGTGTATCACCTAGAGATGCTGGCCCTGCTCCTGGTGGTGAAAGCGAGTCATCTTTGACCCTGGGCCCCTGTGTCTTCCCAGTCCATCCCTGGTCTTTATTCCCTTGGATTCCCCCAGCAGGTGGAGAGACCCAAAGGAGTCCCATGTAGAAATGAAGTTACTCAGACCCTGCTTCAGCTACACTCCTAAGATGCCAGTCTGGCTTCCCTTCAGTGGAAGGAGAGGGGTCCTGATTGTATTGACCTTGAAATTGAGGGAGGGCCAGGCTGCCACTGTCCTGGGTATTGGAAACGGTTGGTCCTGCTGCTCTCCTCTCCCCATTAACACAGGTGAATGTAGATGATGCCACAGGGGCTCATTCCAGCTCATTCCAGGGGCTCATCCCAGAGAGCGCTTCCTCCGTCTCATTCCAGAAAGGTCTTCTCAGCTCCCCTGGAATCAAGGCCCCTGGTGTGCTGGGGATGTCGCCTGCTTCCTTGCACTTTCTGTGGCAGGTGAGTCACTCCAGTCTCCATCCTGTGAGAAATAGTCTGGGTGTCGAGAAGCAGCATGCTGCCTGTGTCTTATTTCCGTTATGTTCACTGGGCCCTTGACCTTGCTTTGGAGATGCAGCGCCCAAAGTGAAGTGTGAGTAGGAAGGGGGAAACGCCCCTTATGCGGGGTAGCTTGGTAAACAACAGAGGTGGTACTGGGACAGCTGGCCTTCCTATGAAAAGGACAAACTATTCCATCTTACAGAATATAAGCAGCACTGAGCCTAGTGCTAGAAAGACCATATGGTCTGGGGTAGAGCAATTGCCAGAAATCCAGCAGGGAGAAGAGAAGGGAATTGCAGACTGAGGAGGGCTTCAGAGGTGTCCGAAAAGAGCTAAGCATGGCCCCAGTGGCTAAAGACAAGATCTGAGTGAACGCTCAGAGAGGAAAGGGCAGGAGTTGACTCACACACAGTGGGGAAAGCACAGGCCTCCACATTGTCGGGGACCGTGGAGTTGCTCCCTAGGAGGTGACAAACCTGTTGGAAAAAAGAATGGGATCCACAGTCTGGTGTCCTCACAACTGGCTCGAGGGGCCCCAAGATAGCAAAATGTTGAGTGAGGTTATTGAAGGAAAAGGCAGGGGAGACCATAGAGGCAGAAAGGCAGTCAACAGCAAAATCAGGATTTTGTTGGTGGAGATGCCCTTCTCCCAGACCCTGAAATTCCTCTCTCAGACCCTGGACTACCTGGCACCACTTCCTTTCCGGCCTGCCTTTCCCAGCACCAGCACTGCAGCCCCGCACTTCGGACCTCGACTGCCCTCGCCAGACCCATCTGTCCTCTGCAGCCCGTCGACCTCGTGGCCCCTTAGGCTCAGGTACTGGTTCAGAGTGCCCAGTGTCCCAGGGTCCAGGACAGGCTGAGCTCTTCTCCAGAAGTCTCAGGAGGCAGTGGGTGAGGGGAGGCATGGCTGCCCCTCTACCAGCTGCTACAGAAAATACTTAGAGAAACTCACTAAGAGAAGGATGTGGTAGAGTGCAATTCCTTCCCCTCACAGGTAAGGAAATGGAGGCCCAGGGACTATCTGAGGTCAGCCAGCACGGCAGAACTGAGAGTAGGACTCAGAAGTCCTGACAACCAGGTCAAATGGTTCTATATTGTGTCAGGATTTCCTGTAGCCAAGTTTCAGGGGAAACCATATCCTGGAGGGGGAGGTAAGCCCTGCTGAGCTAGGATAGTGATGCTTCATGTGGCTGACGCTTGGGCAGGGTCATAAGCAGGTAGGGTCCCTTAGATGTCTGGCTGAGGTTCCCAGAGGCTAAAGGAATGGGGGCGGGGGGCTGAGAGCTTGCTCCCACCCAGCCCAAGTTTCTTTCTATGTCTTCCCAGTCATCTGACCCAGCTCCACCCTCAGCACCAACGGATCTTGAAGCAACAGCAGCAGCATGGTCGACCACCAAGGTAAAACCGAGAGGAGAAGCAGGATTACGGGGGGCCCCCTGCATGCTGGGGTTTCCCTTGTGACAGAGCACCTCCCCCAAAGCCCCACCAGTTAAGCCTCTCACACCCTGGCCCACCTCTGCACTCTGCTGTCCTCCCCCAACATCCTGCTCCGAGCTCTCCACTCCTTGGGGGAGTTCTCTGGGGCAGGGGTGGGTAGGTCTAAAGGGACACTCCTCCTGGCTTGAAGTCCCCCAGCCAAGAAGCCTTGGTCTCAGCAGCCAGACCCCTATGCTAACCTCATGACCCGAAAAGAGAAGGACTGGGTGGTAAAAGTGCAGATGGTTCAGCTGCAGAGTGAGAACCCCCGCCTGGATGACTATTACTACCAGGTGAGCCCCAGGGGCTCTGCCCAGCCTCTGACCTTGGCGTCAAATGGGCCTGACTCCATGGGTCCTCTGAGATTCTCCCTTCCCCTCACAGTGGCCACGTCCCTTCAGGTGGGAGGAACGATTGCTAAAGGATGGGGGTCTTATTTCTACACTTAACATCCAAACTCCTTCCCCTTCTTCTCCTAAATTTCAGCCACATGGGATTAGTTATGATTCCCCAAACACACTCTGAGGTTTCTGTCTCCGTCCTTTGCCGAGAATTTCTCCTATTCAGTCGGCAAATGAGGACTCTTTCATCTTTGTACACTTTGGTTTCTCTCAGAAATGACTTGTTTAAAATAAACATTCATCTACTTACTTTACACTTTTTAAGATCTAAAACACAGGGAACTTTTATAAGTAATGGGATTCAATTTCTTGAATTGAACAAATGCTGGCAGGCTTTTGGACTCCTTTCTGTCTGCTTCCTGTCTGCCCTTTGTCCATGAGTTTTGGGTTGTCTAAGTTGTGTTTCAATTTCTCTTCAACCTCCATGAGACCCTTACTGAGGTTTCCACCTTTATCTCCTTCCTATTGACATTACTTTCTTCCTTTACTTCCCACCAGCTTCAAAACCCTCTGCCTTCTACCAGGATTGCTTGAATGTGATAATCTTCCACTCTTGACTTTTAGACATTGCTCCTCAATGAAGGAGCTGTATTTAAATTCTTGTTTGTCTCTCAGTCATTGGCTTTATTTTAGTTCTGGATTTCACAGTCTTCCTTGAGATATTAGAGCTGCTGCACAAATCCTCACAAGCGTAGAACTGGCCTAGAGGCCAACTGAAGTCGTGTTCTCTCTGTACTTCAGCTGCTGATTGGTCTTCGTACCATCAGATAACTGATTTTGGAGAGCACAGGTAGGATCACCAAATTAAAATGGGGAGGGGGAAGGATAGCGGTGTCCCATGTGTAACCTGGAATAACGATTGCAGGAAGGTTGCAGACCCTGGGACACGTTTGCTTCCTGGCTCTCTGCTTTGCTCTCTGCCCTGCTCTCTGCCTTTCCATCAGATCTGGTGGTGGTACTAGCTCTTCAAGTCCTTAGGATGGGGACCCTAAAACAGGTGGCACGAGGCCTAGGGTGCTTTAAGGTGCATTATAGTGGCTACTATAAGGCCCTAAGGTGCCAGGAGCATTTCTGGAATGAATGCTGTAGGCAAGAGTATATTAAGAGGTTGCATTGCAGAGCCCTAACTCTAAGTTCAGCCAATGAGTATACCTTTGACTAATCCATGGACTCTCAGGAATATTATCAGAAACTAGAGAAGAAGCAGGCAGATGAAGAGCTGCTTGGGCGAAGGAGCAGGTTTGAGTCCTTCAAGCTGGTCACACCTTACATTCAGAAGGCAGAGGCTTATGAGTCAGGTAGGACCGGGGCTGACCTGCTGGGTTGGGGTGGACAGCCGGGTAGACACAGGTGGAAAGCAGAGGGGCACGTGCCTGTCTGACTCCTTCCATGCAGTGGTTCGAATCGAGGGTTCCCTGGGCCAGGTAGCTGTATCAACGTGTTTTAGCCCTCGCCGAGCTATTGATGCTGTGCCCCATGGAACTCAAGAGCAGGTAGGAGCATTATCTTCCTACAGCCTTTTTCTCTCCCCTGTTTTGGAGAAAGGTCTGGAACACTCTCATGCTTGAGTTCAGGTTGTGACCTAAGAGTGAGGAACAAGAGTGATCGGGCTTTGTGGTCTAGCCTTTCCAGATCACGTTCTAGCTCACCTAGGTTTGGGCTGGAGGTGTGGCTAACAGCCAGGGACTTTTTCTCTAGGAGACAGGAGCTGCAAGCAGTCAGAGGCTTCAGGTGTTGTACCGGATTGAGAAGGTGAGACATCAGGCTTAGCAGTGAATTCCTTACCTCCCTTGAGAACAGGATATACTCACATTGACCCCTTCTTCCTCTCTCCCCACCCTCACATTCCCAGCTGTTCCTTCAGTTACTAGAGATAGAGGAGGGCCAGAAGGATGGGCCTGCACAGCCCTGTGAGCAGCAGAGCAGCCAGCTTGAGAAGCTCTTCCAGGCCTTAAAGACCCAGGAACAGAATAATCTGGAGTGAGTGTGGGAGGGTCACACCTCAGCCCAGGAAGGGACGGCTCAGCAAAGATAGTGGCTTAGCTTCTGCCTCTCCTTTCTGGCCTGTGGCCCTTTGCTCTATGCGGATCCCTGCAATGCTCTCCTATGTCACCTGTAGGGAGGCAGCAGATGGCTTCCTGCAGGTGCTCTCCGTGAGGAAGGGAAAAGCCCTAGTGGCCCGGCTGCTCCCCTTTCTGCCCCGGGATCGAACTGTCAGCCTTCTTCTGACCATCACCCGCCATCTGCCCCTCCTTGTCAAGAGGGATGTGGCTGATCAGGTACTGTGGCATCGCGTGGAGAAGAGGACGGTCTTGTGGATGAGTTAGGGATGTGTCTTCCTCCTCCTCTCCCCCTTCCTCCTCCTCCCAATGCCCTCCCCCAGAGAAGCCAGAGCAGGTGCTGGGCCCTGAGGAGTGTTGACCTTGCTCCCCTCAGGTGAGGGGCTTACAGAACAAACTACCACAGGAACAGCTGATCATCTTCAGGCAAATGAAGAAAGGAAAACCCACAGGCCTATGGTTACACAGGTGTGAATGTGCTCTGGAGGCTGAGAAGCTCAGGGCCCCCTGTTAAGTGGTGAGCCTGCATAGCTACTTTGCTTAGGGAAGGCATCCTAGACAAGTGGGTATTGAGGGACCAGTGTTAGGGATGGAGACACCTGAGTGGTGATAGGCCTGGTAGGTCTGACCTGACCAGAAGGGGCCAGAGGCAGGTGAGCACGGAAAGAGACCAGAGGTGAAGTTGTCGAGGAGTCAGAGAGAGGCCCTTACTGACCTTCTTGCAGGCCCTGCAAACGTTATTTGAACCTCTGGGCAAATGTATCGGCCGCTTGACCTTCCATGAACTCCTCCAAGGACTTCAGGGACTCATGCTGCAACCACCTGGCTCCTCAGAGCGGCCAGTCACTGTGGTGCTGCAGAATCAGGTAACACGTGTAGGAGGCTTTTGTCTTTCCACAGGTGGCTCCAGGTGCTATCCGGAATGGACCCAGGGTGGGGCTGCTTTTTTAACAAGCTCCCTGATGGTGGTGCTGCTATCACCTCTAGATCAGAAGTCACCAAACATTTTTGATTGTGAATCCCTTTTACCAAAAAAAATGCTGAACTGTACCACCTGTGTGTGTTTATAAATCATGTATGTGGGGCTTCCCCGGTGAGTGGTTGAGTGAGAGTCCGCCTGCCGATGCAGGGGACACGGGGTCGTGCCCCGGGCC